AAAAGAGTGGTGTTGCCGTCAACATACGTTGGAAGTCGCAGATACATGGAACAATTATACTTTGATGGAATGGCAATTTGTAGTCAAATTGGATTTCCCGATCTATTCATTACCTTTACTTGCAATCCATGTTGGCCAGAGATTCAGAGGTTTCTTAACAACATGAATTTACAACCTCAAGATCGTCCTGATATAATCTCAAGGGTTTTTAAAATGAAGTTTGATGAATTACTGTATGATATAACAAAGAAGCATGTCTTGGGCAGAGTTGTTGCATGTGAGCCACATGAAATTAAATATCTAATACTTAATTCTTTCCTATTTTATACCAATGATTTTAAATTAATGTTTTACTGTATTTTAATTTCTTCTAGATATATACACCATTGAGTTCCAAAAGAGAGGTTTGCCCCATGCACACATTTTACTTTTCATGCATCCCCAGAACAAGTTTCCCACTCCGGATGACATCAACAACATTATTTCAGCAGAAATACCGGCAGAAACGGATGATAAACAATTAAATCATTTGGTAAAGACACATATGATTCATGGTCCATGTGGGTTGGCTAACAGATCTTCCCCTTGCATGAAAAATGGTAAATGCTCTAAATTCTTTCCCAAAAATTGGCAGCCTCAAACCATTGTCGATCAAGATGGCTATCCCGTCTATAGGAGAAGGGATACTGGCATTACTGTTCTGAAAAAAAGTATTGTTCTTGATAATAGGTATGTAGTTCCTTATAATGCATATCTTCTAAAGAAATATCAGGCGCACATTAATATGGAATGGTGTAACCAAGGTACTTCTGTCAAGTACTTATTCAAGTATATTAACAAAGGTTACGATAGAATAACTGCAGCGGTTGTTCGGACCGAATCAGACGGAAGTTCATTTGGTACAGATGTTAATGAAATCAAACAGTACCTTGATTGCAGGCACGTTTCCCCCAGTGAGGCGTGTTGGAGGATTTTTTCATATCCTATCCATGGTAGATCTCCTTCTGTCGAAAGGTTGTATTTTCATCTGGAAGGCGAAAATCCGGTTTACTACACTGACTATGATTTCATAGACAATGTTCTTGAAAAACCAACTGTAAAGGAATCAATGTTTACAGCTTGGATGGAGTCAAACAAAAAATACGAAGATGCAAAGACTTTAACATACACTGCCTTTCTTTCCAAGTTCGTTTACGATAAAAGGTACCGTTTATGGAGACCTTGAAAAAGAGGTCGTACGATTGGCCGGTTAATTTGGGTTCCTCCAAGCACTGGTGAGCTCTATTATCTTAGAATGATGTTGACGGTTGTCAAGGGACCTACTTTTTATGACGATATAAAAAAGGTTGGTGGAGTCGTCCGCGACAGTTTTAGAGATGCATGCTTTGAGATGGGATTTCTTAACGACGACAAAGAATATGTTGCAGCCATAAATGAGGCCAAAGATTGGGGTTCCGGTAATTTTTTGAGGAAGCTATTTGTCACGATGCTGTTGTCTGGTACTGTTAATCGGCCGCGACATGTTTGGCAACAGACTTGGAAGTTGCTATCTGACGGTATTCTTCATCAACAGAGAATTGTCACTGGAATAAGAGGTACACTTAACAAATACCTAAATACTTCTGTTAAATTTCATACAATTACAAACCGTACGAAACTATTATAATGAGTTTTTCTTCTTATAATACCTTTTAGACTACTTTGGATGCAATAATTTCAATCCCTTTATACTTCCATATATATGTTACATTTCATACAGCACCTTTCAACAACCCCTTTCAATGCTGCCATTTCAAAGAATCATAAGTTCCAGTAAGCAAGTCCTTTCAATGCTGCCATTTCATCAGTAATAAAAATATCTAATGCAATCTGTTATTACTCCCCATCAACACAGAACAGAATAATTATGTGATTTATCTTTTACCTTCAACCACCTTTTGTCACAGCTACTGATCAAAAACATAACATTTTTAATGAATCCGAATGTCTGATGCTCTTGCATTATACTGAACTTTTCCATGATACTGCCATTTTAAGGTTAACGATCCTTTTGCATGTCTATCTTCATCAACACTGTGATTTCTATTGTACAAAATAGTTATATTTTCTTTTGGTTTGTATTTGTGTTGGAAGACATGCAATTGTCAACGGCAGAACTGACAAACCTCACATTAATTGAGATTGAGAATATGATGCAATCAAATAGAAGAAGCTTGCGTGAATTCAAAGATATGCCGTTTCCAGATTTGTATATAACGCGACATGTCGGCAATAGACTGATTTTTGATGAACGTGATTACGATGCTGATTCAGAGCGACAAAACTTCCAGAATCTATTTTCATCTTTAACAGGTATTTCCTCATTATTCAAATATCGATGTTTTCATTAAACTACTGTTGTATTGATTCTTTTCATTTGAACGTCAAGATGAGCAACGTGCAATCTTTGAAACCATAATGGACGCCGTCAAGAAACAAAACGGAGGCGTGTTTTTTTACATGGATACGGCGGAACCGGTAAAACGTTTATGTGGAGGACATTATCAAGTGCACTTCGTTCAGATAAAAAAATTGTTCTGGCTGTTGCTTCAAGTGGCATAGCTTCCTTATTATTGCCAGGTGGTAGAACAGCCCATTCGAAGTTCAAAATTCTCATTCCAACGCTTGACAACTCTACTTGCAATGTTGACAAAGACTCTGAGCATTCACAGTTATTCGAAGCTACTGATGTCATAATATGGGACGAAGCACCCATGGCTCATAAGAATTGTTTTGAGGCCTTGGATAAGACCCTTAAGGATGTCATGAGCGATAAGGGTTTTGCAAATACAATTTTTGGTGGCAAGGTAGTTATATTTGGAGGAGATTTTCGACAGATACTTCCAGTTGTTCCAAGAGCAGGCCGTTCTGATATTGTTCACGCTTCCATTTATTCTTCTTATGTGTGGGACTATTGCCAAGTCTTAACACTAACCAAAAACATGAGACTACAGAATGGGAGGGACGTTACAACTTCTGATGAACTTGCAGAATTCTCTAAATGGATATTAAATGTTGGCGACGGTAAAATATGTGAACCTAACGATGGATTAGCTGATATAGAAATTCCTCCTGATTTGTTAATTTCCAATTTTGAGGATCCAATAAGAGCTATAGTTGAAAGCACATACCCAAATTTGCTTGCCTACTTTCAAAATGTAGAATTTCTACAAGGAAAAGCAATACTTGCTTCAACCATTAAAGTTGTTGATAAAATTAATCATTACGTGTTAGACATGATACCGGGTAAACTCTTTTTTCTTTTGATGTTTATTTTCGTGTAGATGTTTCGTTATTAAATAAATCTTGAAAAAACATTATGGATTGATTCGCGTTTTCCCATTTCTTAGGTGAGGACAAAGAGTATTTGAGTTTTGATTCGATTGATAGAACTGATTCAAGTTACACCGAAGCCTATGAATGTCTTACTCCAGAATTTCTTAGCAAGCTTAGGACTTCAGGTGTCCCAAATCACAAACTCAGATTAAAGGTTGGTACACCAATAATGCTTATGAGGAATTTGGACCAAAACGATGGTTTGTGTAACGGAACAAGACTAATTGTTACAAGGTTGGCAAATCACGTTATTGAGGCAAAGATCATGTCTGGTAAGAATGTTGGTAACATCTTTTTCATCCCTCGAATGTCTATGTCACCTTCCGAGTCACCGTGGCCATTTAAGTTGATTAGGAGACAGTTCCCAATTATTGTGTCGTACGCAATGACAATTAATAAGTCTCAAGGCCAATCACTTGATACAGTTGGATTGTATTTGCCTACTCCTGTATTCAGTCATGGCCAGTTGTATGTAGCCATTTCAAGAGTTACAAGCAAAAGTGGTATAAAGATCTTAATACATGATAATATGAATGTATCAACATCTATCACTACAAATGTTGTATACAAAGAAGTTTTCCAATCTCTTTGTTGATCGGTAAGTACATAATAACAAATAATTTCTTTAATATAAATTGTTTCCGTAAATGCTGTCTAATTTTTGCATCATTTATTGTGCAGGTGATAAAGTTGAAAACATCGTTTCCAAGCTGGTTGCGTTGTATCTGAAGACTCATGATAGTTTCTTATTTTGAAGAGTCATCACAGTTTCTTATATTGTTACACAATCATGATTTCAGTTTACATTTTTTAATGTTGTCAAATAAGTTTGATACACTAAATTTGGCCAAATTAGATGAACTTTTATTGAATTTCATAAAAACGATTTTACTGTTACATGACAACATTAGTTCCAAGTTTTATGAATTCTCGACCGGCCCCGTGCGACAGCACAGATTATCGACTAGTTTACACTTACAACACGTCACAATTATTCACAAATGATTTTATAAATAGCTACGATAAAAATTAAATATCTTTATTAATCTAACCGTTGGACATTAAAAAAACTCTTTATATGAATAGCATATATAAATTAAAACTAATTTTCTATGTATACCAGTTATAAATTGAATATATTATTAAAAAAACTAACCACAAATTTTTAAATAAATAGCTAATCATCAAATACATGATTCTCAATGATGATTCCATGTCAGCATACTTGTCAAAAGAAATGTCGAGTTCCATTTCTTAGATTTTGAGCGTATAATATAAGCCCAAAGTTCTAGAACGAAACTCTAATGTATTTTCTAGCTTTTGGAGTAGGTTCCATTAAATTTTATCGGTATGACTTTTCTTTCGATACATATCTTACCTTCCAATAAAACGTTGGTCAGAAAGATAGCTTACGAGTGTTTTCCTCTTCTTTGGACACAATTTGGTGTTTCTTTATGTTAAGTTATGTTTTCCGACTAATAGCCTCAAAATGGATGACTCTTCACGAATCGCCCAAATGAAATACATTAATGCGATTTATAAGTTCTCATGCGATTCTAGTTCGCTTTGTCTATACGAGTGAAGTGAAGGGCGCCCTTCCACAAGCATCTAGGATTCCCCACGAGTTATTCATACTTGTATGCACGAGTGATTTCCCACGAAACTGAATTGTCCGGCAAAAGGTCATATGTCACACAGCCTTCCCGCTTACAATTTACCAATGCAACCATAAACTTTTCATTTTCTAACGACGAGGGATACATCAATTGTTCTTCCTGAGATAAAATAGTTTTACTGTGAAGCCAACAAATATTTTTAATAGAAATGTAATTCAGAAATTGGTAAACATGTGCTATGTGCGGTAAACATGTGCTATGTGCATATGAACACTAAAAAACTGGCATCAAGTTTAAGTTATTAGTTTATTACCTCAGGAAGGTCACAAAACTCGTCAGGAGATATCTGCAATAAATCCATGGCAGTTTGACCAGTGCACCATGCTAAAACTTTCGCGCTCTTATCTGCTAGGGTAATTTTCAAATGGAAAGAGCGCACGGCCTCTGCATCAGAAATTACATGACAGAAACTGCATTTCATGGTTTTCTCGTCGACAAAGTGACCGCAGAGAGAATGCGAAAATCTTGTATTCACGTAATAATATTGATTCGGAACAAGCCAGACTCGGCATACCTACATCAATATCAAGCAAGAAAAATCATCAGAATTTGTAGATGAATAATAATAATTAAACGGTAATAGAGTAAAAGGGAAAAAAGAATAAACAAAATATGAGTTGCAACTTGCTATAGTATTTTAGTACTTGTTTAGTAAGATTTATAGCAAGATTTTGATTCATAAATAAATACCACAAAGTAATAATTGAAACACATAAAAAAAGTCAAAATTGTATTCGAGTGATACAAAAGCGTAACTCTTACTTGGGCGTAGAAAGTCTGGTTAGAAATATCAGAGAGTTGGAATACTTTATAAAGGCAAGATGAGTTGATCATTGCTGGTAAACAACTGAGATTGATGAAAGAAGCCCCGGTGCCATTCTCAAACCATGACAATTCCAGACTGTCAAGTCAAAAACGTTCAAGTACATTGTAAATCACGTGTATACCTTAAAGAGAGTACAAAAATGCATTAAACTGTAAAGGCTGAGAAAACAGAGCAGAGACTAGACCAGGATAAGCAAAGGGGTACCAGACCACATTTTGAAGGATAAAAAAATAGTATTAAATAATCCACTCAATTTCAGACCATATATTTTTACAATTATCTTTTTATTTAGATGGTTGCTGGTTATTTGCATCAGGCCAAGAATGTGCTCACCGTTTTTGTCGTTTCAACGCTGTGCATGTCAAGCCAGATATAAATACCGTGTGACCGAGACTCACTCTTCCCAATGACCTGAGACATGATATATAATCATCAAAATGGGGGATACAAGACATTATGGAAACAGACCAAATAATTGCATACTTAAAATCACAAGTTTTCCACTCCTTCCTCTCAGACTTATTTTTACACTTTCTTTTTCTCTTTTCTACAACTACCCATTCATCCTCGTGATATATTGCAATCTCTTCTTTCCATATCATGTTTTTGTTTTTAGAGTTTAGAAAAGATAAGTGTAAACTAGTTGTTCATAAACATTCATGAAAGTCCTCTATTTTTCTATAAAATGGTAATGTTAATTAGTAGTTTTCGTCTATTTTCAATAATGATGTGTATTATTAAATCATTGCTTTCTTTCTTATAAATTTCATGTTAAAGCCTACCCAGCCCGCATCCATGTACCCAATAGTTTTAAGCACATCTGGAAGTTAATACAAGTAATGCCTGAAATCATTACCAAAGTCTGGTAAAATGAAGCTTTGCCCTGATTTCTCCGCTAGTATCTGTGATTCTTAAAGAAAAAACAGTTTTCTGGGTATTATCTTCTTTGCTAATTTCTGTAACAACACCATAGAGGCTGATGCCAGTCATCTTGTCACGAAGGTCAGTCACAAATGACTGCAAAACTTCACACAAGTAATGAGATTAACTAATCAACCAGAAGGACTGAAAATTAACACTTTTAAGGAATGTACGCAGGATAATGTGAAAAGTATATAAGCAGTAAAAATGTATACAGAAATATAATTGCAACTGCTTATGCAGAGCATGAATGAAGATCTCCTTTGTTGACCAATTTATCTGTGTTGTATGTAATAGTTTGCAAAACCGAGATACTAATAGGAGTAGGGTCAAGAAAAAACATGAAATCTTACTACTATAGTTACCCAAATAGCTTTTATTCCAACAAATTAAATAGATTTGAGGACTTGCATGAAATCTTACAAGCTTGTATACCTTATGTTCGTACAGGTTGGTTTTGAATTAAGAAACCAGTACCATAAGCTAAAGCCGACATAATCATAACAACAGCTATTGCCTAGCTTCCAACAAGCATAAGTAAAGTAACTTAAACGCAAGATAGCTATTGAGATCGTAAAAAAATATAAATAAGAAACAAATCTATCATTTTCTTTTCTTTTAGAGACCGGTAGAGGGCAAACTCACCCGAAAAGGGTAATTGCTGAAATCTATGGTACCCTGAGAATCACAAGGCAAGCTCACTTGAGAGACCTTGAGACCCTGAGTGGGATTATACGAACCAATTTGCTTTGAACCTTGATGGCGGTTTGGTGTCAAAGTTAAGCACACCTAACCAATAAAGCTGTTTAGTATTTTATCTCCATGTGACAATTGATATAGTTAATGTCATACAAAAATCCGTCAAGTCAAGTCACCTGTTCTTCATGCTGAATATAAGGCACCAAATATAATTGTGTTGCACTTCCATATTCAAGGCAAAATTCCTCGTTTGTTTGAATACCACACTCTGCAGAACTGGCAACGTAAGGTTTGTCCAGGGCAAGCATGCATCCTACTCTGTAACCCACCAAAATGGTGAATGTTACCACACATATAAGAAAAGAATTACTCATCTTCATAAGTTTGACAATGTGAGAATTACCTGAAAAGATTGGCAAGGAGAACCTGCTCGCTCCATAAGAAGAAATTTAATGCAACACCATCACCATCAACAAGAGTAATTTGTTTTCTTTGCGAGGTCCCAAAATTCCCTCGAATTTCCGCAGATTCAATATTTTCAATCCTGTAATCAATAAAAAAACTAGTGAGGGCATGCTTCCTTGTAAAAGAGAAAAATACCATTATTCAAGGTTATGGATCATGTTGACAAATGCATATATAGAGGAACATAGACGAACTAGTAAATGATTTAAACCTCATAGTTACACTTAGGTATCTTTATAAACAGCAAAATGGTACCTGAAATAATTTTAATGACACAACTCAGTTAAATTTACAACATGCTCAACAACAAACTTATGCAGCAAACAGAACATCCATTGCAAATAGTTTACCTGGCATAAAGTGAATAAGAAGCCCCATTGCTTACTGCCTCCAGCGAAATTGAAGAGAAGGAGTCTGAACAAAACTGAGCTCCTAGCAGCATTGCATCATCATCCTGATTCTACAATTTTAAAGAAAACAACAGGCTTTTCTTTAGTTGTATTGTGCAGTAAAAGTTAGTTTCCAGAAGCGCAGGCTAGGCTCTGAACTTGAACTACTAGCATATGAAACGCTCAAATTTTAAGACCAAAATACAACTAAAGAAAATGATAGTTACCTCATCTAATAGAATCACGAGATACTCTGTTGGCAAAAGACGTGGATGACCAGAACTTTCTGCGGTAGTTCGGAGGTAGCAGCCTGTGAGGAGAACCTCTCTCCCTTTCTTCAGAATTCCACTTGGCAGGCCTGCCAAGTCATAGAATCTGCTAGACAGAACATGATACGTCTAATTTTGAATAATATTGCCAATAAATAAGACTGCAGAAACTATTGATTTAAAATCATATGTTACACTAATGATTCAATACATGTATTTGGAGTTTTTTTTTAAAAATACATGCATTTTATTGATATTTAAATAAATAATAAATAAAAAGAATATTTCTAAATATATTCTTAGAATAGAATATTAGTAATTAATACGTAATTTCTTAAATAATAGAATTTTCATGGTGATATTCAAATACAGTTTTACCGGATAGCGCATAACAGATATAACGGGACGACTACTATTTGACTTTTTTTATAATTATATAAACATTACACATTTATTTAATATAAAATTAAACAAATAAGTCATCCCTCAAAAATACTCAAATAAAAAAATAATACCCAATTTTGGAAAAGTAAAAATAAAAATAAAAAACACAGGACTTGATATCCTCCATTGATTCAAACCAGCATACAGACCATGATTTATATCAAAATTATATTAAGTAATTTTTTTAACCATAGGTAATTATATCTTTGTGAAACTTTTTAGTAATATTTAGCAGTGCTTAAAATCTAAGCAGAAGGTTTAACATAAAAAGCTATAAAAATTCCATCAGTCTTAAGATTAAAAAGAAAAACAAAGTAAAAAAATAGGAATAAGATTAAAAAACAAAAGTAAGAAGGGAGGAAACGGAATAAAAGAAAAGAGAATAGAGGAAATGCCCAAAAATAGGAGAAAGGAAGGGAAAAAACAGGGGAAACAAGTGAAATAGAAAATCAACCCAGAATCTCCTCCAAGTGTGACCCGCCTGCGACCTGTGTCGCCTGCCCCTGAGCTGCTGCTACCCTATTTCACTCCTCTACAGACTTTGCTGCCCGGACAGTCTCTAAGACGGCCACCGTGATAGTGATGGAAAATGAACAAACAATAACATACTAATACACGGCGGAAATAAAATAAAATTCTAGAAACTTGTAAGAACCTATGAGAATCAACCATAAATATATAAATATATGACATCAAATAGAGCAAACTACAGAGCAAACAAGATTACAAATAAAGAAACAAGAAACTGAAAAATACTCAAAATTGCAGCTTCAATGCGAAGTTATCATATTCTGCTCATCAAAACAGCATGCCATTGAATGGCCAAGGCTTGCTAGGGAGTGCTAGGTTCAAAATGTGAGGAGTGTGGGATTGAGTCCAATTTTCATGGAGTCGCAGTTTTGCGGGTGAATATTTGGAATAGGTAGTGGTGCATTAGGAGGGTTGATAGGTGAGGGTGAGTTAGGAAGAGAAGATAGAAGGTGAGGGTACGAATATTGGTCCGTTAGAATGTCTCCTAAGTAGTTCAAATAAAGAATGCACTCAACAACCTGAAGTACTTATTAATTGTAAGTATTTATAGGTTTCCATTTTTACTCTTTTAATAATCAAACTACAAATTGAATTTGACTTTGAGAGATTGAACAATACATACAGCACTTACCTACGGTGAAGGTAGAGATCTATGATATTAGAGCTCCAATAATCCCCTAATGTAAGCATGTGGATGTTTGTGCCTGAAGTAAAAAGAAGCAGTTTACAATAATTAGCGTTGACCGCTACAAAAGCATAGTAAAAAGTTTATCCGCAATAGAGGCTAGAGGAAGAAGGTTGGATCAAGCAAAGCTTTGCTTAAAAATTTATTGTCTGTCAAAAAAGTTCAAGGTTCAAGTCTAGTCTATCATTGGCTTTTCTTAGGTCTAACTTTATCTTTTTGAAGATTTAATTTGGTCTATTAACCAACTTAAAAGTCTGTTGGACTAAAAATTTATAAGTAAAATCAAGTTTTTTAAAGTATAAAACTTACTTTGTTTATGACCTAACTTTATTAAAGGTATAACCTAACATTTAAAAGAAACATGATTTTTTAAAGTATCAATTACATAGGCCATAGATTTAACATAAATAAATACATAGGTTTAAATCTTCATGTAGATCATCGTGCTTAAATTATTGAAAATGTCAATACACATATGGTTGTTAAACAAGAAAATAGTATCATTTAAATTCACTTAAAAAGACTGACCTAAAGTGATGTATGTAAGCTACACTAAAGACCACTCTTGGCAATCTAGCCTAATTCCAACCATAACAGAGACAACAGTCGAGCCTTATCCTAGCAATTGGCATCAGTGATAGTGTGATACGATGGCTTCTATCCTAGCAACTGGGGTTTTAGCAACATGATGGCCTAGAGTGAGGTCTGTTTTACCAACTTGTTCTAAAACCAAATTACTTTCTACTGCTCCAAAAAAGGGGTAAAATAGCAAAGAGATGATTCTCTCATGTCAGGTGAGAGTCTAATAGAGTTATGAGCAGAAAAAGAGGAATGATATCAGTAACTTATATTCAATCTGAAAAACAATTACATAAATGAAAATGACAAAATCTGACAGAAGGATATTCTATCAGCCCTCAAAGCTAAAAAGATTCCCTTGCCAAGAATACCTTGGTGATCACTCTCTTTCTATAACAGAGGTTATTTTCCTACCACACCCTCTCTCCCTTTCCCTCTAGTCTATATATATAACTCCTCATGCCATACCCATGTTCTTTGCCTCAACCACATTTCTTCCCTTGTAATGTTTTTTACTGTAAACTCTCCACACATTGAGCCTAGTCCCCTCATTAACCAATGATTGGCTCAAATCTTCCCTTACATACTGGTAGATATGGAATATTCTATGAAAAGACACGTAAGAAAGGAAGAGAGAGTATAGGATACAATTAAGTTAGTGCTGCACATGGCCTGGCCAGGTGGCAGCAGCTGGTTGGTGGGAACACATAGGAATGAGAGAATAAATGATTGGGGAGGATCTATCGTTGGATTTTGCAGAATTTGAGTGGATTCATTCCCTAAGGAGAGATCAGACCTCTCGAAGAGCCTCTATCCTTTTTTTCCACTTTCTTTATTTTCTGCAAACATTGTACTACTAGATCCCATATGAACTCCAGTACTTCCATAAAAATCATTACTTTCCTTCTGATTTCTGTGTACTTGTTTTCTGTTTGCCTTGGATATTAAATTGATCTTATCAATTTGGTATCTAGAGCCTTGGTTACGCCTATTCAGTGAATAGTTTTTACTCGAAGCATCATGGAAAACCGAGTTGACAACATAGAGCAGAGGATGAATCAATTTAAATTGACGATGGAGCAGATTCGACAGCTGGATCTGGAACAACAGGCGAGACCGCAGGTGACGGTGGATCAAATTTGCCAGTTAATGCAAGAGAGACCCGTTCGGAATCGTGTGAGAAACGGAACACTACATGGTGGAGAGTCCAACTACGAAGAAGAAGAAGGAAGTGAAAGGAGTGTTATTTTGTGAGAATCTAGACCTAGACACCGCCGTCACGGTGGCAGAAATGGATCTCGTTTCCTTGGAAGCAGACGTCGATTAGAAATACCGATTTTCAGAGGCGATGACGCGTATGGATGGCTCATTCGCATCGAAAGATATTTCCATCTCAATGGGGTAAGGGTACGTGACAAGTTGAATGCGGTGGTGCTAGCTATGGAGGAAAAAGCTTTGAATTGGTATCAATGTTGGGAGGAGCAAGCACCATTGAAGACCTGGGAGGAATTTAAGGTGGCTGTCATGTGTAGGTTTCAACCGGGGTTACTACACAACCCAATGGGACCGTTACACAGTTTGAAACAAAAAGGGCCAGTGGTGGAGTATATGGAGAAGTTTGAAATGCTGGTAGCTCCACTAAGAAGAGAAGAGAGAATCATGTTGGATTCGATTTTCATGAATAGGCTGAAAGAAGAAATTCAGGTTGAGTTGAAGCTTCACGAAAGCCAAAGTTTGGCTGATCTTATAGACAGGGCGTTATTGATTGAAGAGAAGAATGAAGTGTTAACTAAGAAGGGTGGGTCATGGAGAGATAGAAGTGGAACGATGAGGATCAAGGATCCTGCAAAGTTTGGAGGGTATAAAAAGGAAGGTGAAAGAGCTAGTGGTGGAGGAAATGAGAAGTATAAGGGGAGAAGACTGAATCCTGCAGAATTAGAGGAAAGAAGGAAGAGGGGATTATGCTTCAAGTGTGGAGACAAGTGGAATAGAGAGCACATTTGCAAATTCAAGCATATGAGCTTGAAATTATGTGAAAATAGTAGTGAGGAGGAAGAGGAAACAGAGGGAATAGGGATCCAAACAGAGGAGCTGGTGGAAGCAGTGGAGGAAATTAAAACATTGCAATTGTCCATGCAAAGTAGAAAGGGGTTTACTTCTAATAAGTCCTTCAAGGTATGGGTGAAGGTGAATGATAAAGAATTGATGACATTGATAGATTCAGGAGCAACAAGTAATTTATTGATGCTAATTTGGTGGAAAAAATGGGGTTGGAGCTGATAGAAACTCCTCCTTATGTGATTGAGGTGGGAAATGGAGAAAAAGTTAAATATCAGGGAATTTGTGAAGGGTTAAGATTTCAAATGCAAGGGGTGGAATTTAACCAAAATTTCTTTTTAATGGAGCTAGGTGGCACTGATATGGTGCTTGGGATGGACTGGTTGGCTAGCTTAAGGAACATAGAAGCAAACTTTGGGGAACTGTGTTTGAAATGGGAGTGGGGAGGACAGAAACACAGCATACAAGATGACCCTACCCTATGCAATCAACAAGCTTCTACGAAAGCCATGATAAAGGCTCTGAATGATGAAGGAGTGGGATTTTATGTGCAATCAATGAAGACCGCTACAACAGGTGATTGCACTGAGTTAGTAGAATGGGACGGGATATTACATAAACTTAAGGAGGTATTCAATCTATCTGCAGGACTTCCCCCTAGGAGAGAACATGATCATGCAATCCTTTTGAAACCTGATGCTGCAATTCCAAATTTAAGGCCTTATAGATACCCTTTCTATCAAAAAAATGAAATAGAGAAGATTGTAGGGGAGATGTTATAGGCAGGAATTATAAGGGTACTAGCCCTTTCTCAAGTTCAGTTTTACTAGTAAAAAAGAAAGATGGAGGAGGGAGGTTTTGCACTGATTACAAAGCTTTAAACAAGGTGACCATACCTAATAAATTCCCTATACCTGTCATTGAGGAATTATTAGATGAGTTAGGAGGGGCTGTCATTTTTTCTCAGTTGGATCTGAAATCGGGTTATCATCAGATTAGGATGAATAAGGAAGATATAGCTAAGACTGTCTTTAGAACTCATGAAGGACATTATGAATACCTAGTAATGCCCTTCGAATTTACAAACGCTCCCTAAACCTTACAGGCACTTATGAATGAAGTGTTAAGGCCCTTTTTAAGAAAATTTTGCCTAGTATTTTTTTTATGACATTCTCATCTATAGTAAGAGTAAGCAGGAGCATAAAGAGCATTTGAGAGTGGTTTTTCAAGTGCTGAAGGATAGGAAATTGTTTGCCAATAGAAAGAAATGCACCTTTGCCCAAGGAGAAGTAGAGTATTTGGGACACCTGATTTCTGGGCAGGGGGTATCAACAAACCCCAAGAAAATAGCAAATATGCTTAACTGGCCTGCTCCAAAAAAATTAAAAGGGTTAAGGGGATTTTTGGGCTTAACAGGCTACTATAGAAAATTTGTGCAAAACTATGTGAAAATTGCTTGGCCTCTCACTCAGTTACTTAAGAAGGTTAATTTTTTGTGGAGTCCTGAAGCACAATTGTCATTTGAAGAATTGAAGGCACCAATGACCACTATTCCAGTTTTGGCTATGCCCAACTTTGAAAAAGTGTTTGTGCTCGAAACAGATGCCTCAGGGAAGGGGATAGGAGTTGTGTTGATGCAAGAGGGAAGACCAATTTCTTACATGAGCCAAACTTTATCAGATAAGTCTCAGCAGAAATCAGTTTATGAAAGGGAGTCAATGGCCATTGTAATGGCTATTCAGAAGTGGAGACCATATCTATTAGGCAGACATTTCAAGGTTCACACTGACCAAAAGAGCCTAAAATTCATTACTGAGCAGAGAATCATGGGAGAGGAACAACAAAAATGGTTGTCCAAACTACTAGGGTATGATTTTGAAATAAAGTATAAACAAGGAAAGGATAACAGTGCTGCAAATTCTCTATCCAGAAAATTGCAATATGCTCACATAAGCACCATTCACTGTGAAGCGTGGGAAGGATTAGAGGAAGAAATACAGAAAGATGCAAAACTGACCCTGATAATACAAGCTCTAGTCACAGATCCTAATAGCCATAAGGGATTTCAATTAAAAGGGGGAAGATTGTATCATGAGGGGAGGATAGTAGTGCCTAAAGGATCACCAAGAATTGCTTGGATTCTTCATGAATTCCATGATACAGCTGTGGGAGGACATTTTGGGTATCTCATAACTTATAAGAGAATCGCTAGTGTGGTTTATTGGGAAGGCATGAGGAAGAAAATTCAGGAGTATGTACAGGCCTGCGAAGTATGTCAGAGGAACAAGTATCAAACTTTGATACCTGGAGGGTTACTTCAACCTCTACCCATTCCACAACAGACATGGAGTGACATATCCATGGATTTCATTTGGGGACTACCTAAGGTACAAGGGGTGGATACATTAATGGTGGTAGTGGATAGACTCACGAGGTATGCTCATTTTTTCCCTATCAGACATCCTTACACAGCCAAAAGCATTGCGGAAATTTTCAGTCAGGAGGTTGTTAGATTACATGGATTCCCTAGCTCTATAGTGTCTGACAGGGACAAGGTGTTTTTAAGCAATTTTTGGGCAGAATTGGTTAAGCAAGCAGGAACTAAACTAAAATACAACAGTGCTTATCATCCTCAATCTGATGGTCAGACAGAGGTGGTTCATAGGTGTTTGGAAACCTATTTGAGGTGTGTTACAAGGCTGAAACCCAAGCAGTGGCCTAAGTGGTTGGCTTGGGCAGAATATTGGTACAACACCAATTACCATGCTTCATTGAAGACTACTCCTTTTAAGGCCTTATATGGGAGAGCCCCTTCTGTTCTAATTAGAGGAGACAGTCCCTTGTCAGTTGTAGATGAAGTGAATAAATTGACAGCCGAGCGAAATTTGAAGATCAAAAAGCTACAAGATCAAGATTATTTTAAAGGATCCAGCTAACAAGCACAGAAGAGAGGTTGAATACGAGATAGGAGATATGGTGTTTTTAAGGATCCAGCCATACAAAATGAAAAAGCTAGTAAGAAGGCTAAACCAAAAACTGAGTCCAAGATATTATGGACCATATGAAGTCATTCAAAGAATTGGAGTTGTGGCTTATAAACTCAAATTGCCCGATGATACTAAGGTGCATCCTGTCTTTCATGCATCATTATTGAAGAAAGCTGTGACTCCTTCTGTGGAGCCTCAACCCCTGTCAGATTGTATGGATGAAGAGTGGCATTTGGAACCCACTCCGGAGAAGGTAATGGATTCTAGAAGAAATGTACAAGGGGGAAGTAGAGGTCTTGGTGAAATGGAAAAATCTTTCTGAATTTGAGAATTCATGGGAATTTATGGACAAGATGAAAGAAGAATTTCCAGCATTCCTCTTTTGAAGGGGGAGAGTTGGTAGATGTGGAATATTCTATGAAAGGACACGTAAGAAAGGAAGAGAGACAGTATAGGATACAATTTAGTACTGCACATGGCTTGGCCAGGTGGCAGCAGCTAGTTGGTGGGAACACATAGGAATGAGAGAATAAATTATGGGAGGATCTATCGTTGGATTGTGCAGAATTTGAGTGGATTCATTCCCTAAGGAGAGATCAAGCCTCTCGAAGAGCCTCTATCCTTTTTTTCCACTTTCTTTATCTTTTACAAACCTTATACTACTAGATCGCATATGAACTCTAATACTTCAATAAAAATCATTACTTTCCTTCTGATTTCTGTGTACTTGTTTTCTGTTTGCCTTGGATATTAAATTGATCTTATCATATACCTATCAATACCAGGCTGATAGAATATTCTGCTTATTTTGCTACACCTGAGTAAATATCAATATACTCAATAGGGTCTTGTTTCTCGTATGCGAAAAAACCGCCACCACAATTTAATCAAAGCAAATCAATTGCAATATAGTACATCCATATTATTTTTCACATTAGATCCATATAGTAAACAACAATCAGAAGAGAAAAACAATTTCATCATACCTGGAAGTACATAAGCATCGATAATAACAGCTTCCAAAACACTGTTCAAAGCAATGAATTTTTTCGCATAAATAGAGTCAATCGTAACAGTGTTAGGAAGCTTCGTCCTTCTATTATTTTTCTTGAGATGGTTAATTAATTCCAGTCTCTTCTTCGGTACAACAATCCTGCGATGCTCACTCCATGCCTTCATAAACAAAATCAACAACAAAAAAAAAACTAATTAAACTCAAAACCGCGTCACAGTAACACCAAAATTAACCTTAACTGCTAAATCATTTCATCTTACTCCAAAACTGATTGATGAAACCAATCACAAATCCCTAATTCATGCATTCCATAGTTCATGTGTACGGTCCCTAAACCCTAAATCAATTTATCTAACTCCAAAATTGATTAATGAAACCAACTATAAATCCCTAATTTATGCATTTCATAGTTCATGCGCACCGTGACCAAAACCAGAAATGGATGAACGAAATTGACGTACCTGAGAGAGTTCAGAGAGCAAAATCGCGGGAGTGACACCGCTTGAATAAGCAATGCAAGTTTTGAGAATGTGAGAAACGATCCAGCTCCAGCCATATCCAGATGTATCAAAATCATCTCGGTTTGAATCATCTTCGAGCGACAATAGCTCCGATCTTGCTAGATCGACGAAATTGAGAAATGGATCTTCCTCCTCCTTAGCTTTATCTTCTTCGCATTGATCTACGTCCATTTGGGAATCTTCAACTACCTCTGTACTCGCTTCCATTATGCTGGTTTTGCTGCGGTTTTTTGCAACGGAGTGAAGATGGGTCTTTTCAAATAGCTATTCCACTTTTTGGCGGGAATTAATGGGTTGGGCTAACAAATAACAGGTCTTTGGGCCCAAATATCAGATACTCAGTGAAGTTGGAAAAATTCATCTCACACATCTACGAATTCTAACTTTACCCCTGCAAAATCCAATGTCAAGTTTACCATTTTTAAATTTGGAGAGTTTGGAGAATTTGGAGAATTCTCACTCCTAATACAAGTTTTAAGGTTTTTAAAAGTGATTCTGTAGGTATAATTTATCAGAACTTTTCGTTGCAATTGATTCAGTAAATAAATTTCTTCATCAAATTATTATTTATTTACTTTTTTGAATTGTTTATCGGATTATTTTTTAAAAATATTTTTGAAAATTTACTTGTGAAGCGTTTTAATTTTTGTTTCATATTAAAAATGAAGTGTTTTATTTTATTTTTTTGTTATTTTGATCTTCTATATGATTTTGTGTTTTTACTCCCTTTCTTCTTTTATATGGTTTAGTGTTTTTTTTCAATATGTGGTTTAGTATTTTTTTGCATTATGTGGTTTAATGTCTTCTGTCAATATGTGGTTTAGTATTTCTATTTCCACTATGTAGTTTAGTGTTTTTATTCCTTTTGTTGTTCTTTTGTTGTTCTTTTATGTAGTTTAGTGATTTTTGTTATTCTATTTTTCATGTTACACTTTTAGAATTACATATTTTTCCTTTGACTTTTTGGAGAGTGATATTCATGTCATTATTTCTACTATGTTTAAGAAATTATTTAAATCAGTGTTAATAGTTAATAATATATATATCATATCTAACTTCTAAGTTCAGCCTAATGATATGATATTCAAAAAATTTGAACACACGAGTATGTTTTGAAATTTACTGGTAGGACAACTATTAGGGATGTTAATAAACATTTTATTCCTCTCAAGCCTATAAAGTCCACTCCTTTTGAAGACTTTTTGTATAGAAAATAGAATAGAAATATATTAATATGTCTTGTTTTTAATATGCATATTCTTCTTTACAGTTCCTTATAATATTGTTGATCGTTTTCCATCTTTATTCATATGTAATTGGATTCGTTGAAGAAATTGGATACACACAGATCAATATTGGGAATAAGAAGCAACAGGTCAACTTTGGTGTTGAAGGATTTGGAGTATATGTTTAATAACTTTGAAACTCTTATATTTGCCATATTCGATTTATTACATTTTAGAGTATTTGACTTAAACTCGTATGAGATTTATGAATAACACTTTAAACTGCATATTGTGGTGGCGATATGTCGTCAAGTTCATAAACTTCAATAAAAGTTAAATAGTTCGTCGTCAACAATAATAATGCTATGATACGTGAAAGTTAAAGTAGAAGATTGATAATATATGCAACAAATTTTATATTATGGATGTCTATTGTTGTTTTTGTCTAACCTATTATGGATATCTATTGATATGTAGGTAAATATGCATTATCAATTTCCAATACGTTTAATGTCACCATCTTACACATCATTGAACCAATGCCATAGATATTTGATTTTCGGGGAAGGTATCAAATGGTTATGTTCAAATATTGTTGTAAATATGTTTCTAATTTTATTCATTTGTGATCTAACACATTACAATTTTGGTCTTATTTTTAGAATACCAAAAGACTCATAGAGGATAACACAAGTTTGTATTATAGTATAATTTATGTGATCTAACCCCCCCCCCCCACACACACACACACATATATATATATATATATATATATATATATATGTGTGTGTGTGTGTGTGTGTGTGTGTGTGTGTGTGTGTGTGTGTGTGTGTGTGTGTGTGTGTGTGTGTGTGTGTGTGTGTATATGGACTTCCGTGACATGTGTTTGGCCATGTAAGAGGTAGCTGACATGGAGAGATGTTACATCCCTTAACGGACTTATGTGACATGTGTCTGGCCCATGTAAGAGGTTGCGGTCGGGGAGAGGTGTTTCAATTGTATTGAAATGAGTTTGTGACCTAAATCCGGCCTTGAGTGATAAGTCATGGCCAAGGAAAGACATCTTCACTTTGTGAGGGAAATTCGTGACCCGAACCCAGACTTGAGATATAGGTTATGGCCGAGGAAAGATGTCCCTTGTTTAAAGAATAGTATGTGACTCGAACCCAAAATCGTATGGTGAGTTATGGTCAGGTAAATATATCATGTTATGTTATGAACTCTCGAGGTAGAAGCGGGTAAAGTGAACTCGTCTTATGATATTCACATACGATGTGAGATCGATTAGATCTCGAATCCCCGAAACTTTCATGATCGTATGTGTTGTACCCCAAAATTTGCCCTCCCATATTCATCAAGAAATTACCAAGTCAAGGTCACAAAATTCCCCCAGGGTTGTGCAGCTCAACTGTCTCCTATACAGTCAAAACTAGGGTTTGAGTTCTGGTCAAGCAAATGAACTTTTCAAAGGCCCAATCAAGTCTCATATGCTTACAAAGATGGTCAAGTATCCTCATGTCAAGTTTCAAGGCATTCAGCTCAAAATTGCACAGTCAAAACCCTAGATTGCACTACAGTCAACTGTAGGGGCAAAATGGTCATTTGACAGTCAAAAGTTCAAATTTTTGGTCAATATATCATTTTGAAGCCACAAACATCATTTGATCAATGCTTGATCATGATTCTCAAAATTTGGCTCAGAAATCATCAAAGATGCAAAAGTTGCTATATTTGGACAGCTGAAAAAGTCAACTGAAATTGACCAGGGCATAACTTTCACATGGATTATCAGAAAAATTCCATCCAAAGCTCATTTTGAAGAGAAAGACATTTCCTACAATTCATCTTCATGTTCCAAGTCCAAGAAATGCTCTCACAAAAAGTTATCAATTTCAACATTATAGGTCATTTTCAAAAGTCAACAAAAAGTGACTTTAAGTCAAAGGCCATAACTTGATATTGGTAAATCAAAATGACATGGGACCAAAGGCATTGGTTAAAGGACTCAAAGACCTTTCCAAAATGTCCAAGAACATGTGAAAAGCTTAAAAATTGAGCAAGTTATGTCCTGTGGAAGTTGGGAAATTTTTGGGAATTTTGAAAAGTCAACAATGGTTCAAATGACCTAAAAATGCAAATGGGCCCATTTTTCTTCCAAGTTTCTTCATGCCAAGCCTATGCACGACCATTAGGCCCAAAGGGAAGTATTTTCATATTTTTTAATTATTTATTTGAATTTATATTAATTTATATTCATTTAAATCATTTTAATACATGAAAAATATAAACCTAACTTAAAAAAATCTTTTTATGCACATTCCAAGGTCAATATTTCGTGCACTTCTTAATTAAGCAAGTTTTGATGAGAATTGATCAGATTTGAACCAAAATGCACATGGAAAAGATTTGGAAAAGATCTTGTAAAATCAAATATTGAAATCCATTATGGCATGAGATTTTGTACAACTTTCTTGACCTAAAAGCCTCTATACATACTCAGGATCAAGACCTAATGCAAAGGAGACTGGAAACTGCGCCCAAGAAGCCATTACAAACTTGCAAAAATTCTCAAAAAGTTCAATACTGAAATCAAGGTTTTAGGTCGATTCAAGCATCAACTCTCATTCCATTAGCATCCTCAGGCACTCCTGATCAAATTCCAACCAAGAACATCCACCAAAAGGCCCTGAATTGGTATCAAGAACCCGGACTGAACCTCAAAAATTTTGAAATCGCATAGCATGATTTAAACATATTTGTGCATTTTTATTTATGTATTCATGATCACAATGATGTTTCTAAGCTAACTGACATGTTTGATTGCATTTTCATTAGCCATACGTGAATCCACCATGCGCGTTTTTTAGGGTTACAGGTTTCTGAAATTGGGGATTTTGTATAGAGGAAAAATCAGAACCCATGAGTACCATGGTTGAGCTCAACGCTTAGAGACGAAGAAGAAGATGGTCTCGCGATCAATTTATATGTGTTATAGCGCTAGTCGCTATTTTCCAATAGCTAGCCTAAAACTACGCTTCTAAAACCGTTCCCATAGTGTTTTGTTTTACAGGGTGAGGAAGACGAAGGCATCGTGTCAATTGGTGATTGGATCTTTTGAATTTCGCGCGAATTTCCAAAAGCACTAACGTGTTCTTTTTATAATATTCATTGTTTACTATATGTTAAATGACAAGCGCTTGGTTCAGTGGCAACACGTGATGCATGTAACATCAAAGACCTGGGTTCAAGTCCCAGGTCTGGCAAAATTTCCATAATATTTTTCAACGCAGATTCCTATGCAACGCTGGCACTAAGGTACACCATATTTCACCCTCATCCAAGCGCACACGTGCCTAATGAATGCAGATCAATGGCTCCAGTGTAAAGAACATACCATACGCCAGTCAACGCGTCACACACAATCCAAAAAGTCAGCGAAATTCAAAGCTAATGGGCCAGACATTCCAGGCCTGCACCTCCATAATGGGACAGAAAACCCCCCCTGGTTCTATCTTTTCTAATTTTCTTTTATCTTTTATTATTTTTAATTATTTATTTGTTTATTTATTTTCTGATTTAATTAAATATCCTTTTTTACAAAAAAATACAAAAAAAACATCATAAAAATAAAAAATGTCCAAATAAAAATATATTTTTTTAATTTTAATTATTTTCATCAATAAATTAATATATGTAAATATTTAGTTTAATTAGGTTATAGTTTTAATCTTTTTAATAAAAAAACACCAAAAATAGAATTTAGGGTTAATATCTTTTTTTTTATTATTTTTCTTTTAATTTTTCCTTCTTTTCAGAATAATATTATTTAGTTATTTTCATAAATTAAAAATTGTGCATAAATAAATTAGGGTTTAATTTAGATTATATTTTAATTCCTTCATAATAAATAAAAATATTAGAATTAGGGTTTGCCTTTTAATTTAATTTCAATTAATTTCTTTTCCTTATTAAATCTAAAAA